AACCAAGATACTCATGTAATGGTACAAGATCCCAATGATGAATGTAACTGTATTTTATACCTAAAATGTACCAATAAACTTAATGGGAAAAAAAAAGAACTACAACGTCATAAATACATGGAAATTAAATAATACCCTCCTGAAAAACCAATGGGTCACAGATCAAATTAAAGAAGAAATCAGACAGTTTCTACAATTAAATGATAATGACAATACAACATACCAGAACTTACGAGATGCAATGAAGGCAGTACCATGAGGAAAATTTATAATGGTAAATATCTCTATCAGGAAAAGAGTAGGCTCAAATAAACAACCTAATGTCAAACCTCAAGCTTCTAGAAAAAGAAGAGCAAATTAAGCCCAAAGCTCATACAAGGGAGGAAATCATAAAAATCAGAGCAGAAATTAATGCAATGGAGACAAAAAAAATCAATGACTCAAAGAGCTAGTTCTTTGAAAAATTAAATAAAATTGACAAACCCTTAGCCAACATAAGGAAAGAAAAGACTCAAATCCATGCAATCAGCAATGAAAAGGGTAAAATCACAACATATCCTGCAGAAATCCAGAAGATAATAAATACCTACTTTGAGAACCTGTATTCTAATAAGATGGAAAATACAGAAGAAATGGACAGATTCCTAGATACATATGAAACACCAAAACTGAATCAAGAATATACAAAAACTTCTAAATAAACCAGCATCAGCCAATGAAATTGAAAATGTAATTAAAAACCTACCAACAAAGAAAAGCCAAGGCCCTGATGGATTCACTGCTGAATTCTACAAGAAATTTAGAGAAGACCTAATGCTGCTACTTCTCAAACTCCTTAATGAAATTGAAAGGGAAGCAATACTCCCAAATTCATTCCTGGAAGCAAGCATTATCCTGATTCCAAAACCACAGAAGCAGCCAACCAATAAAGAGAATTACAGGCCACTCTTCCTAATGAACGCAGATGTAAAATTCCTCAATATGATACTAGCAAACAGAATGCAGCAAATCATCAAGAAGGTTATACAACATGACCAAGTTGAATTCATCCCAGGGGTGCAGTGATGGTTCAACATACACAAATCAATAAATGTAATACACTATATTAACAGAACCAAGAGCAAAAACCATATGATCCTCTAAACAGATGCAGAAAAAGCATTTGACAAGGTCCGACACTCATTCATGATTAAAAAAAAAAACCTACAGAAAACTGGTACAGATGGTCTTTATCTCAATATGATAAAAGCCATATATGACAAACCAACAGCCAGCATCATATGAAATGGATAAAAACTGAAAGCTTTCACTCTAAAATCAGGAACAAGACAAAGATGTCCACCGTTACCAC